TTTAGTTCAAAAGTTTTTAAAGGAGTTATTTAAGAGTTATTAGCCATGAATCAAACCAATCAGCTAAATGGTGAATCACAACAGAACAAACTTTGAAGCAAAAAAGTATTTGAAAATTTGAGACAAAAACGAAGTTATAAGACTGTGTACTTAACGGCTTCAAAGAGACAATAAACTATATCCAGTGAAACATTGCGAAAGGCATAAATGAAAAACCATGACAAAATATATAAGTATTGATTTAAAGATGTTGATTATATATAGAAACAGTATATTTCTCTGTGTGTGTGTGTGTTTGGGTGCTGAAGAGTTCTTTTGGAGCAATTTACTTGCTTTGATTCTCTGATTGGTGGAGATTTTTCTGCAAAATTGTGACTGAAGCCTTATGAACCTTAAGTAGGCATATATGCTACGTGTTTTTTTTTTTAATTGGGCATAACTGATATGAGACTCAAAGTTTAGTAAGGGAGTCAGTTAATGACTCTAAATGGTTCACAGACTGAGTGAGGCAGATTAAAACTGCTAATTTACTACGAGGTTGAATTCAGAATTTATTTTGACTGACTCATGTAAAAGAACCAGTTCATAAGAGTCATTTGTTTACAAATCAAACACTGCTGCTCCTGTGGTGGAAATCCTGGCACCTGCTCGATATCTGCACAAGACAGTATCAACAAAACAACAAATGGACCCCCAGGAGATATTTGTGACAAGATTTTAAACTGTTGCAAGTCTTGTAAAAGACTGAGAGTAAGTCAGCCATTGAAAAACCTTAACAATCTGAATTTTGTCTGAGCGTGTCCTTCTCGGTGTATACAGTGGTTATGTCCTGCTGAGACACCCTTGAGGAAGTCATTTAGGAACTGGCACTTAAATATTTGTCACTCACAATGAGTTTGAGCCTCATTTGTTTAAGGACCTAGAATGGATACAAAGCAAAAACAGCATGACGTTTAAAGATTATACTTATCCCTTCATATTGTGATCCATGTTTCTGTGCTCGCTGTTACAGTTGCTCATTATTATTTAATGACAAACTGTGGATAACCTTGTGTGATTTTACTCGGTTTACTGACGTAAATGCTCACATGAGTGGAGCTGAAGTTTTATGAGTCATTCTTTGCTGCAAATAATTGCTCTGCTTAGCTCTAGAGCATTGTTCTGACCACTTAACAACATATTTTCCAATTAATTTTGAAGGTTCTAAACATTGCATAAAAAAAGGATAATTTGCGTACAGTAACTGCAGGCGCCAGCAAATCTGACTCCATATTTCCGAAGTGAAGTGGACTCCCTTTGATAACAGTTTCCTCTGTGTCAGTTTTTAGACTCAGGCCTGAGTATGTTTGTTATGTAGGCAGTGAGTGGGATATCTAAAGACTTCTCCCTATAATTAGAACTCACTTCATGCTCTTGAGTACTGAGGAGACTCCATCCTTCAAAATAAAGAGGAGAAAAAGTAAAGAAATAACTTTTTATTGCTTGTGAGCTCATATGAATATGAAAAGTTTGACTTTCCCATGTGGCTTATAGGAGGAAAGGAACATTGTGAGGAGCATAAACGTTGATCACTTTGTTTTGATGTTCGTTATTTAATAATTTAGCAGACGCTCTATAGTCAATAAAAATATACACTTGAATTACTGTTATGGATATGCAAGGAAGACACCTAGCTATTTAATAATGCTTTAATCAGAATCATTGGTATATTTAAAAGTGAATTATTTGCACATATTATATATTAAAATTATATTCACATTATTTTTATATGCATACATTTGAAATATATAAATGTAGCATAGTTAACTAAAGTACACTAAAATACACTAAATTATATTTAATTATATATATTTTTATATAGTAAATATATTAATTTCAAATGTTGCTTTAGATTTTTTAAAAATATACTATGCAGTATTTTTGTCTAAAGTGCAATAAAATATTTAATTATTTATAATCATTTATTATATAAATTATATCACATATTAATTTAGAAAATTGATTTTGATTTATTATAGTTATATATATAAATATATTA